AAATTTTACATATATCAATATTTAAAAATTTGCTTTTTTGGAAAAAAACAAAACAAAAAACAAAACATGATCTGGATAGAATAACTTTTCTTACCATGTACATACAAATTGTTTACTGTAAAATTAAAACTAGCTCAAAAAAATTATCTAGACATAATGATCACTAACAAAAAAGGAACACGGATACCAATATAAAAACATGAAATATTAAACATGAAAATTATACAAAAAGTGCAATCTACAATATTTTGAGGTTGTTGCAACAAAGCAAGTTCTTAAGTGACACATTACAAAAACAACTGGGCAGATGTATTAGTTTGCAAGTCTTACTGCACAGATCTATTCTGATATATAGTACCAGATTTTTTCACATTTGTTTTGCACTCAAAATAATTCATTAAAAGGAACATCTGAGCAGGGGAACACAGTAGGCTTTTACAGTGTAAACCATGCAATATTCAGTCTGGGGTCAAAATATGCCCATCTCTCTCTGTGTGCAGCGACAGGTGCTCTTCAACAACACAAATGATTAACAGGAGCTTCCTGGAAGACACTAGCTTTTCCACCGAAGCACAAAGCCCAGTGAAACATGATACCAGACTAACAAGAGCACAGATCAGACTCGGGGGAGGAAACACACAAATACACTGATCTCCACTGAGATGCTTTCCATAAAGGCAAGCAACAGGAAACTCTGAACACAAAACCAGCCAGGTCACTCTTCCTATAATTCTGTTAGCGGGAAAATATGTGATCACTCTTTGTGACAACGACTACTAAAAAGCTACTGCCTATGTATCCCTGAGGGGGACATTTATTTAAAAACCAACCATTTCTCTGTGGAATGTGGTCTGAATAAGCTGCAAAGTGGACTAGACTATATGCTGATAATCAAAAAGGTCTGGCTGTTAGAGATTCCTTCATACCTGACGTTCTGTGTGGGGTTCCACCTCTCTGAGGGAAGCTCTCCGCTCTGTGGATCATCTACTGGAGGATGCAGAATGGAGATACACACGTCCCCGTTCTGTGAAAGCACAAAGAGATTCATCAATCACACGATCATAATGCTTTCATGAAGCAAAACAAGCATCTGAGTGAACCCCTCGCCTCCACACCACTGCTGTGAGTACTCGAGTCAGAGCGAGATGTGTGACAGAGAGATAAGGAGAAACAGCCTGTCAAAACTGAAAGACGATCTCTGCAGAACAGAGAAAAACTCGCACTGGACTCTGAAAAGGCCTTATGCATGTAATGCATACATATCCAATTTGAGGAAATATAGTGGTGCATGGGGTAGGTGGTTTGACTACAAACTTAAATCAGAGTATTGTTATATCACGGTAATTGTATATATATATATACAGTGGGGCAAAAAAGTATTTAGTCAGCCACCAATTGTGCAAGTTCTCCCACTTAAAAAGATGAGAGAGGCCTGTAATTTTCATCATAGGTATACCTCAACTATGAGAGACAAAATGAGAAAAAAAAATACAGAAAATCACATTGTAGGATTTTTAAAGAATTAATTGGTAAATTCCTCGGTAAAATAAGTATTTGGTCACCTACAAACAAGCAAGATTTCCGGCTCTCACAGACCTGTAACTTCTTCTTTAAGAGGCTCCTCTGTCCTCCACTCGTTACCTGTATTAATGGCATCTGTTTGAACTCGTTATCAGTATAAAAGAACTTTTTTCCCCCACTGTATATATATATATATATATACACACACACACACATTTACAGGAAGTACAACTATATATATATATATATATATATATAGTTGTACTTCCTGTAAATTCAACCCAAACATTTTTATATAATTACATTACCATGTAGTAATGCTCTTTTTAATAATAATCCAATAACAAAAGCATCAATTAAATGTCTTGTAATTAAATGCTTTGTAAATAAAACATACTTCATCTAACTTGATTACTGCCTTTTTATCTGTAACTTGGTGAACTCAAACCAAAAAACAAGATTATTTATAACAAAACGATACATTAGGTATCAATATTATAAATAATAGATGAAAAACTAAATGAAAATTGCCTTGGCAATCATCTGAAATAAAATAACTAAGGTGAAATACTAAAATTACTAAATCATAAATAAAAATAGTTAAATTAAAATCAAAATGAAAACGGAAAATATAAAAATAAAGGCTAATTCAAAACATTAATAAATAGTATAATAGGAAATAAGCTTTGTGTCTTTATACATTAATGAGCTATGTTTAAAAACAGTTAAGAAATATGCACATCTGTGAACGTACATCAGTTGAATTCAATATTAATGTGGCAAGATGTGCATGGCAACCATAAACAACATACCGTTACACTACATTTATATCAGAACACATGGTGGCGATGTGTCCAAACGAATAAATAAAAATAATGCGCATTATAAATCAACAAAGCTGTCTACACTACAAGCGTTCGTCATGATCCACTCTGGTGTGTCTCCAGCACACCACACACATTACCTGTGATATACATTTTCAAAAATGATTGAAACAAATCAAACAAAAATGATTGGCAAATTGTAACTTTTTTACATTTTTGCACGCACTAAAAATCCACATGCCATCTTTTGGGAAAAGAAATGTGTGTGCCAAATATAATAGTCTAATACCAAATATAGACCTAAGAGTCCTACACTGAGAACAATATTAATTAAAATACAAGATTGAAAAGAATGAAGTTTGAATTTGAAAATGAATTTAATACACAATGTCAGAGTTTGTTTAGATGTTTATATTTATTAGATATTTATAAATATAAATGTTATAGAACCTCAAATATAAGCATAACTAAATGAGTAATACTAGTGCTTTAAATATTTTTGAATTACTTAATTTTCAGTCTGTTCTTCACACACACACACACACACACAACAGAATATAATGCATGATTTGTAGAAACCAATTTTATGACGGTATTAATCCTTTTTGGATATCAGACAGTCCACCCAGGAGTTCACTGAACAGAAAAAACGCAGAAGGTTAAGAAAATAATGACAGATCTGTGCAGTGGCTTTTGCCATTGCTATGCTTAGAATTTCAAACACACCACATGACCTAATGTTTTTCAGGTCACAAACAGGCCTGAACTGCAGGTGAACCACACCGGTCTGTGCCTGGTGGTGTGAGTTACAGTTCCTCATTTTTAAGAGTTCAAATAATGTGCTTGGCTTACTTTCTTATTTGAAACAGTGCAACTATTTATAATCAATCATATCAAGAGCTCATATAATGTGTTGCTTTTCATTTCTGTTCAGTGGCACTAGCCATCATACAAAAGCCCCGTTCACACTAGCAGCGACTTTTGTCCATATAATCTAAATCTAAATTAAATCCGTACATACAAACAAAAATGAATGAGAAACAGAGCCTACTTTCTTCCATTGCGTTTATCTACGACGCTGAGAGGAGAACGATCACATGAGCTCTACCGTCTTCTTTCCTATTGGCTGTCGCTCTTCATTTGCATAAAGTTGAAGGATTCTGAAGTTTGTCGTGTCGCTGGACACGCCCCATCCGGTCGCCAACGGCCGCTGTCGCTCACTACCGCTCGTGTCGCCGGAAATCGCCAGCTCTCCATTGAAATGAATGGGAGTGTGTCGCTTTGCTGTTGCATGTCGCTTGTAGTGTGAACGGGGCTAAAGGTTTGCGTTTGCCTGGTGCATTAACACAGGGCTTAACTGAGAAGGAAATTAGGAAGTCCAGAACAACAGACAAGCCACGTGCCACAGTACACATCGTGAGGGCTGAAACAATCCTCTTACCTCATAGATGTTGGGGTGCCACATCTTGGTGAGGAATCTGAATGTGGGTGGGGAATAGGGGTAATCGATCGGGAACTTGATGCGAGCCTGCAAAACAAGACAAAAACAATGGTCATGACTAGGGCTGTGTGATATGACGATATATATCGGATGGATGAAATAAAAAGTCTATCGTTTCATATTATGCTCTATTGTTTATTTCATGGTGTCTAGATGACTGCGATCTTTACACGCCACCACGGGGCGTGAAGTGGAGACAGAAGCAGGTGGAGAACGACCAGCCAAGACAAAAAACGAGGAGCTCGTTCCTAAATGAGGGACTACATCTGTAGTAGGGATATGGCGGTATCAAATTCTCACGTTGCGATTAATTGCTAATGCTTTTATCACGGTATACGGTATTATCACGATATTGAAATTTTGTTTTTAAAAAAGTGCTGTCATAATACAGTATAACAGGTTTAATAACTTTTTTCTTATTTAAGTCTTTGTTCATGTTAGCTCACTAAATAACACAGTTGCAACTTTCAATTTTAACAACGTGTTGTTAAATATTGTAATTACCTAAGATTAATGAATGTTCAGAAGAATTTTGCATGGACATGCGTTTTTAAGCGCTGCAGTTTTAAAACAACCAATTTAAGCCGCTGAAACACAAACAACAGAGCTATATGCGTGCGCCGTCTCTGTTTCTGTGTGAGAGGAGCGCACATTTTTTTTCTGCTTTATTGGCTTTGAACAATTACATAAACACACTTATATGCGTCAGAATCCCCGTCTTTGCAAGTATCCTCATAAACACAGTGATTTAGGTCTTAAGAGAGAGTAAACAGCTGAAAAATTGGATCCGGACTTCGGTCTTAAAGGGGAAGCTGTCCAATGTTCGTCCTGTCTGCCATTCATATTAATCAAACAAAAGTGAGAAGAAAATCTACATCTAATGTATGTATAGAATCTATACCTAATACACGTTAATTATATCTATCTATCTATCTATCTATCTATAGATATAATTAACACCGTGAAGACTAATTCATTTACACAATGTGTATGTAGCATTTCTTATTTTAGTTTTTTGTCCTATTGCTTACAAGTAGTTTCTTATCCTTATTTCATCATTGACTGTTTATTTATCTTCAGTGAGCTTGAGGTTTTTTTGTCTCTTTTTAGGCTTGTATTAGTTTGATATCAACATTGGTGATAAGGATTATGAAAATTCTATGGTATCTAGGGATGTAACGATTACCGGTTTGACGATAAATCATGATAAAATTCCCCACGGTTAGTATTACCATTTCATCTTTTAATTATCATTAAAACCATATTAGATTACCGTGATTTGAACAACTCGCAATAAATAAATACTGCCCAGCATAAAGCACAGTTTTAAGTAACAGTTTCACGTGCGCACAGAGCGCAGAGTAGTTTCGTTTTGAGTGAAAACAGGGCGGAAAAGCTGGGAGGTATTAAAAGAGTGCTAAGGGAATTATACAAATGAATACATGAATTAATTAAATATATGAATGTACCTCTGAAGGTTCTGATTGTCTTCAGAAAAGAATCGATGGCATTTTGTTTTCATCTTCGCTTCTGTAATACCTAAAGGAAGTGTTCTTAATTGCAATACTGCTTTGTCCGCGGAGGTTACGGGAAACAGTTCTAATTCAGTTTTTCCATAAGCGCCACCTGCTGTCAGCGAGTGGATTTACAGAGACTTATATTTACATTCAGCCTGTGTGCAGTTTCTGTCTGGCCAAAAACAGACCGAATTTGCATGCCCTGCTGTAAATTTTGACCGGTTGATGAAAAACAAGCTTATGTGGATTCTACACATTTAAACAATTCAGATAAGTTATCTAGAATTCTTTATGGAGCAGACATAATACATATAATAATTTATTAATCAATTATCATTTTGACATATCTTTTCTTTAAAGGCTGAAATGTGAGGTGTTTTTTTATGTTTTTATTAAACTTTTTCAAAGCTTTATTTGAACATTTACATTAGATATTTCAACATGCTATTAAACTGTTGTCAGTCAAGTTGTCATTTAAAATCCGAACATCATTGGTAATGTTATTGTTTTAGTGATTATGCAAACAAAAAGTCATTTTATTTGTTGTTTGTTGATTTTTAAATATAAAACTTGGTGAAGTGATTTATGTGTCGGTACTTTTTTAACATCTCCAGCACATTTTAACAATACCGTGATAATACTGATAACCGTGATAATGTTGGTCACTATAATCGTGATAAGAAATTTTCATACCGTTACATCCCTAATGGTATCAAAGATTTGAATATCATAAAAACCTTTTTAAAAGAAAAAATATATATATATCGTGATATAAGATTTTGGTCATATCGCCCACCCCTAGATGACTATCAAAAGACACTTCGACCCATGCATGTTTTTTTTTATTTATTAAGTATTATGGCTAAATTGGTAATGCTTTCAGCTGCCAATAAGGCTGTTTTCACATTTGTTTCATTGTTTGGTCTGAACTAAAGTTTGATTTCAACCCCCTCACCCGCTGGTCTCTTTTCACATTGTACTTGTGTTTGTCTGCAACAGATGTAGCACGCGTGATGTGAAAAATGCAAGCTGCTTTCTGAAGGCAATTTATTTAGAGACATGCAACCATGAGAAATGCATAACATCAAAATGAGGGTTTTCAAATTTTGTGAGACCTCCAAATATTACTATCCCCTTAAAAATGACCCCCTTCCTAAAATATGAATCAGCAGCTATGCATTTACGTATAAAAAATCCATAAAAATAATAAAAATATGTAATATATTACCTGATAAATATATTCAATTTCTATTAAAATGTTATTATTTTCTTTCTACCCACCACTGTTCTACAGGTATAAATCTGAAGAAACTGATTTCTCATAAGTCTTTAGAAAGCAGAATGGTACGGTAAATATGTAGTTTTTTTAAAGAAAGTTTTTAATATTATTATTATCATTATTATTATTACTACATTTATTTTACACAGCCCACATTTTCCTAAAGCAAACAACCAACTCTGACATGAAATGGACTTGGTCTGCCCTAGTGTGAAAGCGTTTTACCCTGTTAAAAACCATTCTTCAGACCTCAACTAAAACCGAAAACAACTAGGTTAAACAGCCGTTACGCAAGAGATATGCCCTCCACCTCAATTCAATACAGACCTAATTATTTTCAAGTCTTGTGGCAAATTTAAAAAAAAAAACATTTGCTTATATTCAAATACATTAAGTAAAAACATGTGATGGCAGGTTTGAGATCAGTGATGCCAAATGGAATTATTATATTTATAAGAGACAATGAGATTCAAGAACTACAGCAGAGGAAAGGATTTTTAGTCAAAAACAAGTTCAGTTTCATATCATTCATCTCGAAAAACCATTATATGGTTTCTGAAGACCTGAAATACAGCACATACAATAAGATTCAAAGTTTGGGTTTGGTAAGATTTTTTTTAATGTTTTTGAAAGAAGACTTTTCTCTTCCAAGGCTGCATTTATTTAATCAAAAATACAGTAAAAACAGTAATATTGTGAAATATTATTACAATTTAAAATAACTGTTTACTACTTTCATTTATTTAAAAATGTCATTAATTCCTGTCATGCAAAGCTGAATTTTTAGCATCATTACTCCAAATTTTAGTGTCAAACAACCCTTCAGAAATCATTCTGATTTGGTACTCTTATTAAACATTTCTTATTATTATCAATGTCAAAACCATAATTTTTTTTTTAAATTCTTTAAAGAATATAAAGTTCAAAAGAATATCATTTATTTGAAATGGTAATCTTTGAATATAAATGGCTTTACTGTCACCAATTTAATGCATCCCTGCTGAATATCAGCAATAATTTCTTTAAGAAAAAAATCTTTTGAACAGTAGTCATATGGATGAATTCTATGGTGGTTTTGGTGACACGACAGAATCCATCAGCACTTCTCCTTTTGTGTTCCAAGGAAGAATGTCAGTTGTAAAGGTTACAACCATATGGAAATGACATAATATTCATATCTGGGTGAATTGACCTTTGAAAGAAAGCATGTAACCATTCCTGATAAGTTAGGCACGACTGGTTTCAAGTTCTTGGCCGACTAAGAGATCTTGAAAATGTGCCAGCAGAATACTCAAGAGAGCCTTAACATTGTTGTTCCTGCGAACAGACAAAGTGTGTGAATAATTTCCCCTTTCAAACAAAGAAGCAAGTCTCTGTCATGCAAATACACGCTCCACTGATTTATCCTCAAGCAGTGAGCAGTTACGGGTATGAGTACCAGGCCTTCGGGCTTCGCTAGGCTCGATAGTTCAGTTCGTCTGACATTAATCAGGTTTCAACACGAGCTCACATTCTGACACACCAGTAAACAGTGACACCACTGTATCTGCCAAACCCACTGTATGTGTGTATGAGTGAGTGCTCTAGCTGTAAACAAAGGCAAGAAAAGTCATTGACCTACTTCAAATCGCTTCACAACAGTCCTTCCTTTATAATCTGGAGAGGAACTAACACGAAGATGAATAATTCAATAAAGCTTCTGACATTATTAAGGTCATTAATTATAAACCATTCGGACTGGTGTGAAGGAACAGGTTTATCTGCTCTGGCGGAATGGGGTGAGACCTCCTTACAATCATCCTTCATTGTCATTATTCTATTTTTATAATTATCATAATAACAATAAAACAGGTCAAACGTGATGTCAACAACTAATACCAAATAAATGGCCCCTAACAAGTGTACGGAAGGTCATGAATGTGACGTTTTCAAAAGTGTAGGCTAATTGGTTTTGACAGATGCCTGCATTCAGTAGAATTGGAAATTATCACAAACACTTAGGCATAAATAATTGTTGTTTTGTTTTGTTAATAATTATCATTATTAAGTTAATAATGAGTATAAATGTAATCATTCAAATCAGTAATGAGCTTACAGCAAGCTTAAAGTGTATTGATACTATGAGATCAAATAAGATTACATTTGATTGTAATATTAAAAATATTCTTCGTACAAAGTCATGTAAATCAGCTCACCCTCCATCCATCAGAATCACAATGAGTCAATGAGGAACAAAGAAACCAAACAAATGAGCTCCATTATCCTCAACAAAGACCCCAGAATCTCATCAAACCGACAAATGATAAAAAAACACAAGATCATAATCAGACCTTAAATCAGTCAAAACCCTTAATTATATCCAAATTCGTCTGATGAAAACAGACACAGTGGCACATAAGGAGATGCAGCTATCTAGAGCTGGTTCCAGTTCTAAATATAGACCACAGCCATCTGTTCCTAAAAATAACACACATTTACCCCTTACAAACCAGCCTCATTCCTTACCTTGAAATAGCCCCCTTCATAGTGAGTGTTTGGGGGTCCGAAAATCGCCACTTCCCAGTTGTAGAGATCAGCTTCATCCACTAAAGTGATCTTGAAACCCTCCACTGGTTCCTCCTGTAGAGACTTCATCTCCAGCATCAAAGCTTTCTGTGAGCTGGCGACCTGAGTACTGCTCTGCTGGGCCATTCCTGCTTTATTTCTACCCAACTAGACTCAAAAAGTGGGCTTTGTTACTCAAAAGGGGCGAAAAGATGTGATGAGGCAATGAAAGCTGTTTTTCTTTGTCTGGAGTTGCTAGCTTAGCGAGGAAATGACAATGTCCTCAAAAAAGAGACTATTTTCGATCAAATAAAAAGTGTTTTAGCTATAAAGCATTATAAGTGTTTTTTTTCGTCGTCCATGGAAGTAAAAAAAGGTTGTTTGGTTGTTTATACGCAGGGTTTTGCCAGTCAGAAAAATAAATAATCGCGCTCCGGGTTTGTTGTTTTTTTCCGTAGCTGAAGGCTAGCCGTGAAAATCCACTTCGACTCAACACTAATCCTCTCTAACGGGAGGTTTTCGTTAAATAAGTAAATTCAGATGACTGAATGTACACAAAGAAAGTCTACGCTTGAATTGTGTGCCAAGCTGATCCGTCGAGAAGCAAAAATTGGCGTGAACTAGTAAACGTGAAGGAGAGTGGCGAGTTATGAGTCGATGTCCTGAATGCGTCTTTCCTCAATTCCAATGGGGTCGCGGTGCATCATGGGTACTGAAGTTTTACACGCACACTTTACACTGTAAACATACCTTCATTAACTGACAACATTCCAGTTATTTGACTAATACCAACCCCTCTTATAATTAGTCTAGCTAAATAATTAGCTAACAGTTTCACTGATTGTGTTATGTATGCATATATTAGCCAATTCGTTATATTATTTATATTATTTTTCTAGAGTGGGCCTCTCTGTAACACACCTTAAGTCTTGACTAAAAGGTTTATTTAAAATTTTATTCTGTTATTGCCCAGAAAAAATGTATTGAACACAAGTAGACAATATGCTCAAATAAACCAAACACATAAACCTTCATATCATCCATTTATCCCAAACAAAGACAGACAAAACTCATCAAATTCACATCTGATGAAAAAACAGGTCATGTCGTGATTAAATCAGCCTTTAAAGCAATCATAGATCTGAATTATATCAATATATCAGAAATTCAGTTATGCAACACTGTTACAGAACTCTATAAGGTGAAACTAAAGTTTGATTTAAATTTCGAATGAATACTTTTCTTTGTTCACAAAATCTGTTTTTGTTTCTAATAGAAAATCAATCCTAAAAGAACCTATTTAGATAAAATAAGAGTTCTCATTTTTTGATCATAGAGCACTTAGGTTTACAAAGTTTTTTTTTTAAAAACTCTTTTCAGGAAATATTTCCCTTTTTGTATCAATAAAAGAAAATATATGTTTGTTATTCAGCATCTATCTCATATGCTGTTTATTTGGCTCCAGTGAATGTCCAGGAATGTCTAATCTAGTTAACAGACTGCCTCTCTTACTCTGATTATATGGCTGTTTATTATTAATCTCTGTTACATATCAATCAAAACTACTGACTTTTGTCCAGAGGTAAGGCAGTAACAATAAAAGTCAACCAAGATCAGCTCCATATGTTGCCATATACATGCATTTATACATGCCGATTAGGGAAATAACAATATTGATCTATTCAATCTAAATCTAAATTCAATCTAAAGGCACATTAGATCAATCATCATTACTCTTATGTTTCTCTTCATGTGGAAGAGCCTGAAGCAACCATCTCTCTGACGTCTCTCCTCCTGATATACTCCCAGTTATCTGATACAAACACTGGATAGGCTGATGGGATAGTCAAAGGACAGTCTGTTAGTCCCTGATGATAATGTTTGCAGTTAAGCTTTGACGTTAAGGAATGTATTACACATCAGTACATTTGTCAGTAACATGATCTGTGGATCGTATTGTAGGATGCTTTTAATATATGCTATATATATAAAAACATATTTCCAGATGTATTTTTTATATATGTAAAAATTTTTTATGATAATTTAAATCTGTTGTCATCAGAGAAACTGAGCAAAAAGAGCAAAAACAAATATTGAGTCTAAAATGTACCGTAATTATTATTATGAACTATTTTGTTTGAAATTGTTATATAAATATTTTGAAAAAAACAAAACACGTCACTCTTATTTGTGTGATATTGCTTAACTATTTTTTTGCCCCCATATCTTAACTTATTTACCTTTTTCATATAGCCTATATTTTTTACTCTAGCCGGCAAAGCCAATGCTACTTTGTATTTAATAGATTAAAAAAAAAATTAACCCAAAGCAACACACACTTGTTGCTGGTAGAGTTTTACTCAAGGGCTCAATGCTGATAAAATGTAATTCAAGGACTCTGTGGGTCCTGAATCAACCTTATCAAGGCTCAACCAACAACATTTGTGGAAAATATCAGTAATTAATAGCCCTATAAACCACATTACAGAAATGCATCTAAATACACGTGTCACGTTATAACATTTGCTACTCAAGATGAATATGAGTGCACAGCAGTATCTTGGGAAAAGCCCCATTATAAAATAATTTGCACATATGTGAATATACATTATTTAAACATATCTAAATTGAACTGTCATATAAAGATGTAAAATTTAAACCTGGTTATAATGCAGCTAAATAAATAAATCTCTACATCAACGTAAAATATTTGACTTTTATATTGGTGGATGATCTTATATTTATTTCTGTCACATCTGAAGTTGCATTGAATGGGTCCTATTAAAACAAAGTCTTAGACAGAAATTAATTGTTTAATCTTCATCTCACATTAATATAGACATATGTTGTGATTAAATTTGACAATCTAAGTATTTTAACAAATGTAGTGCTTGAGAAGCAAACAGTTCAGTTCTATCTTGGAAATAAAAATGAGAGAATAATGTACTTTAGTGCGAGTGAGTAAGTCACTCTGATTGTATTTCATATCTGGTCATAAAGTTATGTATAAAGCAGTATATGTAACAGTACAGATGTATAGTAGATAAGGAAGTAATTTAGAAAGGCCTATAACAGAGGTCCATCTTAACATTCTTTTTGTTTGTTTGTTTGTTTTAGTTAAAGTCATAAACAAAATATTTAATGAACAATTGTTTATTCTTCTTCTTCTCACACATCACAGAATGATGATGAATTATTTTTTTGTCCATGAATGATCCCCCAAAATAAAAACTTATAATATAATAAACTATTTTATTTGTGATTACAATATCATATACATTAATCTAAACATTTGCCAATAAAGCAAATGTAGTTTAATAAGTATTTAATAATAATATTTAATTAGTTTTATTATTTGTTATTTTTTACGTATTAGCAATTAAATTAAAAATGTTAAATAGGTTTATCTTTGAAGTGAACTGTATTTTTCATAGCAAACGTTTCCGGTTAACGGGCTTTTATTGTGAAATGCGGCACATCCGGCGCTGCCGTCGTTTTTTTCCCGACAGATGAAAACGTCAGTGTTGGCTGCTAATGCCGGGCTGATTCCTGCAACAATCAGCAAGATGTTTGGCATCCTACTGCCTGTTTCCAATCAATACGGATCAAACTGTTAGCGTTTACTGTATCTGTAGGTAGCCAAAGCCCATTTTGTATTACTATACCCTTTTTGGTAAGTGATGTCTTTGATTTATTTGGCCAAAAATCATGCTAGTGCTAGCTGACTAGATATTAATAATTATATCTAGTTTCTAAATCTTTTGGATGCATGTGATATGCGATTTAAAATACACTTATGCAGGGGATGTGTTTTCGTATATTGTGCAAATAGTGTGTGTATATTTAGAATTTTATATTATTTAATATTTATTGCATTGTAAATTGTACCATACAGTGCAACTAATGCATATCTATCTAGCTATCTAGCATATGTAGGTTAATCATATTTCTTATTTTATTTAATTTATTTAGCTTCATGTTTCCATGGAAATTATATTTTTGCCTTCATGCACTGGGGTCCAAGGGTCAGTCTGAGATCACTAGTGGATATATATTTTTTGTTTTTAATTAATTTTTTAAAATGCATATTTATTTGCATAACTACATTAAATCAACAGTTAAAAGACACATTTTACAATTTTTTAAAAAACTTTTTGTGTGGTTTGGTGACACAAATTATGAAACTTTTGTTTTTCTAGGTTAAAATAAAAGTTTTTTTTTTCTATACGCGCACACAAGAAAATGTATTTATTATTATGACTTCAGGCAAGCTTTTACAGAAAAAGCACTTTCCCTATTTTTTTATATTCAGTCAACTGCTGTATACATGGATCAGTGGTTTCAATCCTGGCCCCGGGGACCCACTGCTCTGCACATTTTGCAGGTCTCCCTTATCTGACACACTCAACTGAGTTCATAGAGCTCTCACCTAATGAGCTGGTGATCTGAGTCAGGTGTGTTAAATAAGGGAGACATACAAAATGTGCAGAGCAGTGGGTCCCATATGGGCAGCTCTTCTGACATCAGCCTTGCTGTAGTGACGGACCCGAATGCAGCTTTAATTTCTGTGCCCTGTTAAAATGTCTCTAAAGTTTAATCGCACTGTCTTGCAATGACCAAATCAACATTTCCCATTTAATCTAAATGTCAGCCCTCCTTAACATTAAATGACATTCTCGCTTGGCTGGATTGCTTTGTTGGCATTGGCTTATGAGAATGATGTTGGAATATGATAATTAAACCTGTGCAATCTTTCACAGGATCTCTAATTTTCAGCAGAAGAAAATGAACGGCTTATCCATCAGCGAGTTGTGTGGCTTGTTCTGTTGCCCGCCTTGTCCGAGCCGGATTGCAGCGAAGCTGGCCTTCCTGCCCCCAGAGCCCACCTACGCTCTTCTGCCAGACCTGGAGTCCACCTCACCTGTGACCTCTAACCTTGGAGCTTCAGGTTTGCGCTCCCGTTTGGGAGGAGGAGGAGGAGGAGGAGGAGGAGAAGAAGGAGAAGGAGGCGGAGGAGGAGGAGGAGGAGGAGGTGGTGGTTTTGGTGACGGGAGTGGAGAAGGTCGATGGAAGCTGCACCTCTCTGAGCGAGCGGAGTTCCAGTACTCCCAGAGGGAGCTGGATGGAACCGAGGTCTTCCTCACTCACTCCAGCCGTGGCAACAGAGTGGGATGCATGTACATCCGCTGTGCCCCATCCGCAAGGTGAGGAAGGATCAGCTTAAGATGTTAACGTAAAACATTCTCACCCAAGCCTGTAAAGGCCCATTCATACCAGGAACGATAACTATAATGATAAAGATTAAGTTCACACCACAACTAAAATGATAACAACACGGAGGAACACTATCATTAGGATCATTTTCAAAACTATTTTGGTATCACTTTACTTAGTCTTTATATATAATGCATTATAAAAGTAGTTTTAATGCATGAATTATGCCTTGTAATGCACCTTATTTATTTATTTACTCATTTATTAGACGCTTTTATCCAAAGCGACTTACAAATGAGGACAACAGAAGCAATCAATTGTAGTATTAAAACAACTAAAAACAGATCCAAAACTAAAAGCTAAAACTTTATAAATACTACCTATATATATTTTAAAAATAAGGAGATTAAATAAAACTGACAAATGCATACAACAAAATTTCAAAACTTAACATTTAAAAGAAAAACAAAAAAATAAAGCTAAAAACAATTCAAAACATTAAAAAACAAAAGGTATAAGAGTATAATAACGATTCTAACATAACACTAAGCCAAACACCAAAAAAACAACTACATATGTGTATGTACAACCACACACACATACATACAT